TTGTATAATATATCGATTATTTAATTTATTAAACAGAAAATATAATTTTAAAACATATGATTTTAAAACAAATACCCTTGAATGAATATAATTTTCTTTAATACTTATAGAATTTATTAATATGTGGTATAAAGCTTTTAAGCATATAACACTCATTTAATCTAAACCAATAATTTATAATAACATTTAGTATAAAAATTAATTTACATATTAAACTATATAATATTCAATATTTATCGTACATTATTTAAAATAATGATTGTTTGAAGAAAAGTATAATAAAAATCTTAATTCAATTGATTTATTACGGTTACTTATTTTCTTCCTGAGGAATGTAAGGTTTAATAAACACCTGATAAATGAGTCGAGCCGTTGCCGCGCGCTCGCTTCGTTCGCTCCGCTTGCTTCTTGTTTAGTGATAGTTCTAACCTAACTGAATGATGAGTTCCTGTTTTGATAAACATATAAGGAATTTTAAATTAACTTAATGAGTTTCGTTACAAAGATTTCGAAACTTATCTGTTCGAGTTCGATCTTTCTTAAAAAGATAAAAAATATAATATTAGGTGCTTACATATGAAATTGGTGTTTGGTATGGGAGGTACAAAAAGTCGAATATTTTTAGTTTAATATATTTATTTAATCAAAGTATAAACAATTGTTATGTATGCACTTTTGCCATCTCATAGGTAGTTCATTTATCCCCTTACTAAAAAAAACCATTGGGACGGAATCAATAAAATCTTTGAAGGCGATTTGAACTGCCCCATCGGAGTTGAATATTTTCCCTTGCAAGAAAATATCCAAATTTCAAAAAAAATGGCAATCTGTTCGTCCACAAGGTCCGGGGAGTACGGTGGATGTCTTAGACATTCCAATTGAAGCTCTTCTAATTTGTTAGCCGTCTGTTGTGCAGTGTGTGGTCTAGCGTTGTCGTGAAGTAGCAGTGGCGTAGAGCGATTGACCAGCCTCGGTTGTTTAATAGCTAGTTTTTCCAGCATGGTTTGCAATTGCTGACAATAGACGTCTGCCGTAATCGTCTGGCCAGATTTGAGAAAACTATATTGAACGACTCTGGCACTAGTCCACCGAACGCTTACAAGTAACTTTTTTGAGGTCAATTTTAGCTTAGGGCAGGGTTTGGCTGGCATGCCAGGGTCCAACCATTGCGATGAGCGCCTACAATGATCGTCGAGAATCCACTTTTCATCACAGATAATGATTCGATTTAAAAACCCTTTATTATTGTGCCGTTTAAGTAATGTAACGCAGCAGTTGAAGCGCGTTTGCTGGTTTGCTTCACTCAATTCGTGAGGTACCCACCTTTCAAGCTTTTTTATCTTTCGAATTTGCTTCAAGTGGATTAAAACAGTTTTATCACTAACATCGCAGCCTGCAGCTAACTCGGACGTGATTTGCGATGGATCTGCTTCCACAATAGCCTTCAATTCATCATAATTAACTTGGGTCCCTGACCGTCCACGTGGCTTGTTCTGCAGGTCGGAATTTCCAGCTCTGGTACCACGGTGGAACACGTATTCTTAAACAACACGATATTTCAAGTTTTCTATTTTTTATACTAGGTGACGTAAATAGGACAAACGGAAGGAAAAATATAAATGAATACCGTCTATCGAAACACAAATACATGTGTAAATGGCTGTATAAATTTGAATTTGTTATTTCCAACCGAGGAGGAGATTAAAGTGGCCAGTACGACAACACGCCAATTCCATATGTAATGACCTAATATTATTTTGTAGTGGAATATTATAATCTTACTATTTTAGTCATTACAATAAAATTATATGAAATAAAGATTATATCAATTAATCGGTTTATTAAATGAAGTTTAAATTGATTATTTCTTACAAATTGAAAGTTATATTACTTGTAAGTTAGAATAATTGAATTTTATGAGAAAAACATTATATTATTTGAGTCTTATGTAGAACTAGCTTTTGCCCGCGACTTCGTCGCGTGGTAAAGTTACTTTGAGCAGCATTTCTAACGAATATTTATTCATTATATCGTGTTAAATACCTGAAACAGTTCATTTTATCAAATTAATAAAGGTTTCATCCCCTATTTTATCCCCTTAGTGATGGAATTTATCAAAATCCTTTTGTTAGGAGATACCTACGTCATAGTAGGAGGAGTAGGACATGCGGAATCTCAGCCCGATCGGTTTAAAATTGACAAAGTTTCATACAAACTTTCATCCCCTATTTTATTCCCTTCAGGGTAGAATTAATCAAAATCCTTTCTTAGAGGATGTTAAAGTCATAGTAGCTTTATGCATGCAAAGTCTCAGCCCTATCAGTTTAAAATTGATAAAGTTTCATACAAACTTTCATCCTCTATTTTATCCCCTTGGAGGTAGAGTTGATCAAAATTAATCTTAGCGGATACCTACGTTATAACATCTACCTGCATGCCAAATTTCAGCCCGATCCGTCCAGTGGTTTGGGCTGTGAGTCGATAGATCACTATGTCAGTCAGTCACCTTTGAGTTATATATTTATTTATTTATATATATATAGATGAAAGTTATATTAATAAACATTAAAACAAATGAACGTTATTTAAATTAAGAGTTATATGAATTGTTTTTAGGCATTTAGAATATTATAAACAAAATGAATATTATTTAAATAAGTGTTATTTTAAATGAAATTGTGATATTAGTCGTTATTTCAAATGTTCATTATATAATAATAAAGCAATTGATGTGAAATTATATAAAAAGTTACCATAACAAATGAAGCGTATCCGATAGACCGACCAGTCAGACCAGACTAAATGTTGGGGTCAGCAACGCTATCCCCGCCGCAGAAGATAGATTTAAGACAGGCGGAATATAATCCGATCAAAAGTGCTACCTGAAGATCACGATCCTCAGCATTGATATCGACGCAAGGATGAAGATACATATGCGTTGTGTTTGCACAGAGATTATTTGTTGGGAGTTGTGTTAAAGTAAGCGTGAAACGTTTTGTTAACGTTTGCATAAAACAATCAAGTATAAATCAACTTGAGAGCAATGTAAATACAATTTGGAATTCATTAGAAACTTACTAATAATTGATGGTGATAATTATTTTAAAGCAAAGATAAGTTATGAAATAAGCTAAAGACAACACCAGCTCGATTAATATGTATTTTATTTTAAGTCTGTGTTCTTTTAAGTTGTTACTTTTCTTACATCAATCAGAGATTTCTTGCTACAAACAATAAAGTTTGAATGTCAGGCAAAAATAGAAGGTCTTAATTTGAATAAAATTAAAAGAAAAGAAATAATGAATTAACCAATGTTTATTTTCCAATGGTTGAAAAATTTTGAGGTTGATATAAATTATTGCTATTATAATTCTATCTGAACGGAAGAAAATAAATCTGTCCTTCCGATCTGACCAACTAAGGTGACCAACTGAAACAGATCAACCATTCTACTTTTTCAACTGTCCACCTTTTTGAGTAGAACTAATAGGAAAATTTTATTTAAATTTGTTCCCATTAACAGAACTTCAAACGGATCAACTATTTTTCTTTCTCATCAGTACAACTTTTTTTTCGACTTTAAAATCGAAAAGTAGGAGGTTCGATTTTACTTACTCTGGGACTTACGTTGACATTTCGTACATTTACGAACATTATATACATTTTTTAGTAGATATTTGTTGTGATAAAGAAAAAATATAGATATCACAAAAAAAAAATGTAATACACTTTTTAAATAGAACTGATTTCATACCTTAAAACAATTGTGAAATAATTTCTTATATTTTAAAAGAAACAACTTTTAAATGGTTTCATCATGTTTGTATTTTTCGTCATGTTCACTAATTTATAGAACAAAAAAAAAAATCTATGACTCTGTCAACAAGTCATAAGGGTTTCAAATTATAAGGCCAGTGGCCAGTTTATTAGTGAAGTTTTAATACGAAAGTTGGGAAAAAATACAAATAAATAAATTATTCCGGTCGAACCAACTAAAAAGTTGTTTCCTTGAGAAAGAAAACTAGTTGATCCGTTTCGTTGGTCAGTTCAGTTGGTGGAATTGGATTTAGTTTTCCCAAAACATAATATGCGATCAACCAGTTGATTAGACTAGAATAATCTAATCTGATCAACTGGTTGATCGCATTCCATTCTGCCCTTCATCGAATTCCATTCTGCACAACCAGGTGGTCAGTTAAGTTGGTCCTAGTGGAAGGACAGAAATAAATAGGATTCTTTGTTTAAGAATCCCACACACTAGTAGTACTGGCCGAATCACTTGTCAGTCAGCGAATTCATTTCTTTCGTCTTCGCGGGATTGGATTGACGTGTTCTGTGTCAATCTATACTAATATCATAAGAGAAAGTTTTGATTTGATTGTTTGTTTGTATCAAATATTCTTCGAAACTATTAGACTAAAACTTTAAAATTCGTGGTTGGATAAAGTCGTAGGAAAACTAGAATATTTTTTTTATTTTTATTTCTCCGCTCCTTAACTATGAACTAGAAGCCTAAGTAGTATACCGATAAATAATATACAATTTATAAAAGTAGTGAAGGAACACATACATTATACATGCACATTCATTGTCCAAAGTTTAACAAACTACGAAGGAAAGAATATATCTTGCGAATTCACTATCTACATGTTAGTATGCGCGTCGTGTGGAATTTATTCGGAGTATTGAAATGCGGTATCCACTCCCCCGGCAGATCTAGAGAAAGTTTTGATATAACCGGAGCACATGAAAACTTGCTAGAAAAGATAAGGTTCACTCTCAATAAAATACGTATGTGTAAGTGATAACGAATCGAGTGATGAGAATGAAACAAATAGATTTCAAATATTAACCTTCTTTGCCATTTAGAAAAAAGGCGAAGAGTTTTTGAGAAAAGCATATATATAAATTCAGTTGTAGTATGACCACAAGATCGTTCAATGTAAATTTTCGGCAAACATCATCATTTATCTACTAATGAAAGGGACTAATCGATTTTTTTGTTACCAGGCGGTGCGAATTTTGTTAACCCCTACACAAGCGACGACCGGACTGACCTCAGTCAAGTATGGGTGGAGATACCGCCAGCACTAGTCGCGCTAGGCGGAGATGTCCGAGTACGCATGCATGGCGTACTCGAAAATTCTATGCTACGCATACGAATCGCGCGCGACGACGACGACGGCCGGTCTCAGCTCGCCACAATGCCTCTAGCACTTGATTCAGAAGGAAGAGTCACATTGCCATGTGGTTATTTCTCTAGAGGTGGAGTTTACTACTTAGAACTCGTCAGTGATAAAGAATTTCTCGATTATGATAGTGTAAATGTTAGCGATACGAAGGAGAAAAGAGACGCTGATACTAGATTACATTCCAATAAAGATAATAGTGATATTAATGTTGAAAATAGAATAAAAAGAGATGTAGACAATGATGGTGTGATAATAGAAACTGGTGATAGTGTAGTCAAATTTTGGAAGTTTGATGTTATGTGGCCTATGGCTAAACTAGATGTTACACCTGAACAGATACAGACTTATCCAGAAAGGCAGGTGACAGCAATTTTAGAGTTTCCTGGAGTTATGTGTACTCCAATGGAGACGAGTGCAGATTTTTGGTTGGAACTTTTATATTGTGGACATTCCAGTGGAGGTGCAGTCCTATGTGATGGAAAGAACACTAGTTCTAATGCACACGTTTTATATTCTGAACAGGTGGGTCTTTAAATATTTTTTTATAAGATACTATTTTATAAATACATTATTATTTCTAAATATTGTTGTAGATAGTAAAATACGCTTTCATAGAATATCTAATGTATTACTTGATCCGCAACCAGTGGTGTTTTAGTGAAATTAAAAGGTCATTCAAAATATATTTCATAGCATCAAATAAATACGTCATATACATATTTTTTCATATATATCCGCTCATCTAGTAAGACATCTCTGTATGTTTAGATGCATGGTTTCCCGGGACGTCGGACGATGACACTTCGTTGCGAACTCTTTGGCCAAGCAGGAGATTACGCTCTGACTCTTAGACCAGCTGCCGCGACGGGGCCGCAAGACTTCGCCGCTGCTTTTATCAAGGTATGTTTTGCTTTTGGAAAGTTGAATTTTCATTGCTTTATTAATTAAAGCACAACACAAATACTTTCCTTTCGTTTTTCTGAGTAAAAATATAATGTAAAGCGAAACTTATATAATTGCGAACACAAACGTAGTAATATCTTGACATCAATCAACCGTCGTACCCTTTTTTCAATAATACGCAGTTTGTTATTGTACTACCCAGCCAAACGGAACTCCATTTAAAGGAAAGCAAAATTGGATACATGTAACGAAAACTCCCAAATCCATCTTCAGTAATATTCCTTTCCGCTTTCATGAAAAACCGTCACGAATAAACTCTTCAATAAACATTTAGTTTGCACAGCTTGCCCCCATATTTTATTCGCCACTCAGGGGTCTCTATAAGAATATTTATTGCGATGTGTTTAATTCTTAGAAAAAACTCATGGAGGTATTTGGGTTATTGAGATTCATTGCCACATCGGCTCTTGTTGGAATTTTTATGGAGGATTTCCTTTGCGATGCGCATACGTATTGTGGCTAAAGTGGTATTCATGAGGTATTATGCTTAGCATATTTATTTGTTATTGTTTAATTTGTTTTCAGTTTTTTAGTATATTACATTGATGTAGATAAAGGAGTTTCTTATATATGTCATCATCATGTCCCTCCTATTGTTGGGTAAAGGCCTTCCATATGGTTGGAATCACATCGAATGGGAAAACAGGCCATGATCAACCACGCAGACCCAGTGCGGGTTGGTGGGTGTTAACTATTGCAGATACAGCCGAGAGCCGAGACCAATGGCTTAATGTGCTTTCTGAAGTAGGAGCAGGAGGAGCGCGAGATAATATTTTTTGTCCACCCATCCTGTGACCGACCAATGCGTAAGTTGCTTAACAACCGTATCGCAGACAAAACGCGCTAACGACGGTATTGACCTCCTGAACATACGAAATTAAATAAACGTGCTAAATTTCAAACATTGTTACTTCTACTGTACTTTCTTGATATTTTTTATTAGAAGATTAATTTTATAAGTAGTGTTAATTTCTTGCTATCAATGGAATCTCGTAAGAACGTGATGACTACTAAAATATCTTCGTTAGCATAAATTAATTCAGTACAAATGTTTTCCTTATCATTATATTTTGCATCGACAATAATTAACATTGCCATGATTTTCATCTACATAAAACTTTATGTGTATTACAGAGTAGCGACCCATTATTTTTCTTGAGATCCCTCAGTTATTACGTATCAATAAAACTTTGTTGTTTTACGTTCTTCGTGTTCATGAATGTTATTCGATTTCGCAAATTCTTTAGATGGTTCCTCCTATGTTTGCTTATATGAATCAGTAAAATGTTATTATCTGCGCAATTGTATTTACATTGCTTATCTTGAACTTTGGTGTTCGTTTTTGGATATTAAAAAATGAATTAACTGAAAATGTTCTATGAATGAGTTATTCATTTATTATATATGCTTCTCGATTATATAAAATTTCAAATGCATTAATAAATACGTATCTAATAAGAATTTTTTATTCGAATATTACTTTGTACTCTCAAAATGAGATATTAAACTAAATTATCAATAATGATTATACTTTTATAAAAGATTTTTAAGTAAACTTAAGTACGGCGACTTTTAACGAAAAGTGTCAGTCCTTCAAAATTGTCTTTTCTTATTTCTTTCTCGCCTCGACTAAAATCTTCAACTTCGCTATCACAACCTACATAACTTTAAACACTCGAGTCGCTGTACATTTCCGAGAAACTTTTCGATCTTATTATTTGCTTTAGATTTTGCCGTAGCAATTTTATTAAAGTATCATATTCTTGATCTTTTAACTTCTAAGATGAGGTCTCAATGGTATTGAATTTACGAATCCCAATATACTTAAGATAGTTCAGTGTTACGTGATTAGAGAAACAGACCTCGTCTAGCATTCCATAGCCACCTGTAGCGTTGTTAATAACTTGCATCAATTAAATTTCATTAAACTTTGCAAGTGAACTTCCTAAACGAATTCGCGTCATTTTTTTCCACAGTTATGCTGGAAAACTATTTCAGCTATTCTCTAAAGTGGTTATAGCATTTTACTTTAAAAAGTGTTGTTATTTATCTTCGTTAAATGCGAGTTCTTTGTTTTATTTTTTCGAATTCGAGTCAATTAATACGTTTTACTTTGTGTTATGTTCATGAAAATCTAATCTGAGATTAAACTTAAGAGCGGTTTATCTTTTATAGTCTCTTTTATTTTTTTTCCACAGGCTGATTGGTCGGAACAGTTCGTCTTGAACGTCCACGGGGGATCAGTGTTGCCTTGCAGTGATGGTTTCCGGGTACTGTTTCAGTACCCAGAGTGTGTATTGGAAGGCGCTGACAGAGTCAGAGTATTCGGAAGGGATGGAGAAAGATTGCGATATGTTGCTGAGCAAAGAGTTAGAAGGTAACAGTTACGTTTGTTTAATGAAAGCCATATTCAATGCATAGGACTGTTTTTTTTTATATTGCGCATAGTCTTGCATTTTACTGTACTTTTGAATTTAAAGTTTTATATTTAATTCTAGACATAAAAAATTATTATGAATAAAGAATCAAGACTTCTTCTGTTATCTTCTATATATCGTATGAAAGAAACTCGCTGCCCACTGTCTGTACGCTAATATATTTTAATCTCGATAACATATTTTAATGCGGTTCTTATCAATATACAGATTTATTAAGTCAGGACCACGGGGGTGAAGCCTCTGGCTAAAAACTAGCTTAGCACAAATTGATTAATGTAAATCTCTTCATAAATACTTATGCGATTATTCGTAGCTGTAGCAATAGTTGCTGAGTTTCTTGCCGGTTCTTCACTGAACAAGGTCTCCCGCCGTAGATTTACGAAACGTTGGCATAGAGTTTCGTTTTTCATAAGAGCATGAAACAGCCTCATCATTACCAACTGCCTATTAATGTCTCCACTAATGGGTCTCAGGCCATCCCTATGGATGGAATCGAATCAAATCGAAGAGGGAGAATGGTTCATGAGCCATGTATTTGCAACTGCAGATGTTGCTGGGACCAACATGCCTTCCGAAGAACGGAGGAGCTCGAAATACCAACTTTTGGTCACTCATCCAATGACAGGCCATTGTGAAAATTGCTTAACAACACTTGTAACAGCCTACACTGAATAATATGATTCTCATTCATCATCCTCATCACCATCAGCCCTTTTGCGTCCCCACTGCAGGGGCTCAGGCCTTCCTTTGGATAATTAAGGAGGATGGGCCATGACCCTCCACGCTGGCCCAATGCGGATTGGAGGCTATTAACGATTGCAAATGCAGCCGGGACCAACGGCTTGACGTGCCTTCCGAAGCACAGAGTAGCTCGAGTTAATAATATTTTGGTCACCCATCCCGTGACCGACCCTTGCGAAAGTTGCTTAACGACAACGATCGCGGGCCGCGGCGCTTATCAACTACGCCACTAAACTACTCGATTTTCATTTGATTTGTGTTTATCAGAGGGCAGCATACCGCATCTTTCGACTGCCGGTTGTTCAGTGAGCGGTATGCCGAATACTGCTTCGTGTACGTGTCGCAGGCGGTCACCGGTGCGGTGGCTGACGTCAGGATGGACTGCTTACCAACCTCACCTCTTTCAGGTAAAATGCTAAGATAAATTATTTGAAAAATCCTATAGCGTTCTTAAAAATATCAGTTTGTACTTTCTTCAATAGGACAACAGATGAGATTTATTGTCGAATATTAGCTAGTCAATGTGGAAAATAAATTTGACATTGCCTACGGTCCGGGTGTTGTGGTGTGGTGCCTTCAATGTTACAGATTTCTATAATGATCGTACTTGCTGCTTAGGTGGTTTGGGATCTGAGCAATTTATGTGATGTGTCTAACACGTTGTTATTAATATCTTTTAAAAGCTTTTATGGAATATCACGTATACTATTATGTCCAGAGGGGGGCGCGGGCGGGTGGGGCGAGTGGTCTGCATGGTCGCCGTGTCCCGCACCCGCGCACTGCTCGACGCGTACGCGCAGTCGACATCGCTTCTGCGACTCCCCACCACCTGCGTACGGGGCCAAGTACTGTGAGGTTTGTATACTGACATTAAAGAAGGTCGAGGTTAGATTATCAGGAGATTTTATGGTTATGATTAGCTTATGTCCACATATTATGAATTAGGTGTAGTGCTTGTGAAGTAAGACCTTGTAGATTAAGGAATGTAGATTTAGAATCTTGGCTTTACGAAATCTGATAACTTATAGACAGTGCGAGTCATATGGTCTCGACTTGGCAACACTTTACATAAAAATGATTTTGGTGGGATTAATTATTACTACATAAATTAATCTAGCATCATTCTACGATGATATATATTTAAAAAGACTATATATATTTAAAGAAAGGTGATGATGACATCAACCATTAAAAAAGAATACAGATTTTTTTATAATATTTGTTTGAGAATAACCATAACCGAATCGGTAACTTAAGAAATACAAGAAACATATTATAAAGAGCAAAACTTTTTAATTAATCAACAAGTAGCTCCGCTACTATATCGATATGATAAGGAAACATGTTCCACGTTTATTTATAACAACCATTCTATGGATGTTATTAAACTTCAAATGAAATCCAAATCAAATCAAATTCTTTATTGGCCTTGTGACAGAGAATGTTTCACTAGGTAAGTCATTAATATACATTCATTGTCATTTAAGAATATGATATAAACTGTTATAATGTCATGATTATTAATAAATATAAAATAAATTATTTCAAATATAAGTATGTGTAGAATTTCAATTTTATATTAATAAAAAAAATTATATATAATTTAAATAATATTAATAAAAAAAAACATGATTAAAATAAATTGTCATTAAATTAATAATTCAAACGGATATTATTTTTAACGTTATTATCATTTAAAATCTACGAAAATGAGGATTCAGTCAATGGCATATTGATAAATTCTGTAAGTGTATAAAAGGCATTTTTTTCAAAGAAAATTTTAATTTTTCTTTTTAACTTATTATTCTCTAAATTCATTATTGAAATTGGTAGTTTATTGTACATAAGTTATTTATTGTATTTTCCTTGTTTTTGTACTTTGGTGAGTCGCACCTTAGGTAATATCAATTTGTGTTTGTTTATAAGGTTATATTTGTGTATATCCATGCTTTTGACATAGCTTTCCCTATTTTCATGAATTTCTAATAAGCATTTATATATGTACAATGATATTACAGTCATGATTTTATATTTCACAAAATGCTTCCTTGCTGATTCCCTTCTTTTAATTCCAGCTAAAATTCTTATTGCTCTTTTTTGTGCTATGAGTAATCTCTTAGTATTTACGCTGTTTCTCCATACTGTTATGCTATAACTAATTAGAGAATGCACATACGCGTAATAAATCGTTATCATAGTTTGACTATCAGTAAGCGGTTTTTATTTTAAAAGAGCATAGTTTGCACTTGCTAGCCTTTTGCATGATCTTTCAATGTTAGGAAAATGGCTCAAACTATAATCAATTATATGACCTAAAAATAAATGTTCTTGCTTAACGTCATTTTTATGTACACGTGATTTATGTTTAATTATAAAACTTTCAAGTTTTATTCTCGCTTCTAAACAGTTTTCCTAGACATGAATCAAACTTTGACCATAGACTATGTTCAATTAGCTTCTTCAGTACGATGTCACCGCATTTTTTTTATAAACTACATTTACATTTTCACTGAATATTTAGGACTCACCTAAGGTAAAAATGCATTTCACCATTGACTAGGAACCACCTAACGAAATTAAGCAATGTCTTAATTTATGATATTCGTTATAAAACGCCTTGCGCTAGGTATTTGCGTATATTATAGGTCATAAATATTTCAAGAGAAAAAAGAAAAAAATATATATTTGGAATTAAACTAATCTGTTTAATCGATTCCTAATATTAGGCGTTTCCTAGTTAAGCTATGCCTTGTTTTAGGTTAGTAAAAATTGTTGTAAAGGGTTAAAACACGAACTTTAAACATCTGTATTATAATTTGTATCATATAAGGCCACTTATTAATACAAGCAATTACACAAGACGCAACAAGAAGTTTTAGCTATCGCGAAGTTTTATCCTCAAAGAATTACTGCTAGACGTGCCATAGAACTTCTTTGTGTGGACGATGATAATCATTAATAACAATCATTATTAATAAAAAAAAATAATAATAAAAAGTCCATATAACATGCTTATATTTAATGAATAAATATTTTCTGTTAGGCTGGTTGCAGTTCTTACTCACTATTCTGGTAGCAGTTTTTTTAAAGACATTTAGTAAGTTTTCTCTTATGAGGGAACAGTATAAGTCGTTAAAAAAATTAAATAACTTCAATCCGATGTCTTATTTACAAGAACTACGTGGAAAAACGTATAGACACACTTATATACACCGACAATAATGTAACACACGTTTTTAGACCAACATATGTGATTATTACGCCATTCCAATGAAATAACATGCTTACATCTCTATTTGATAATCGAATTTTTTTGAAGTTGGATAAAAATTACATTATTTTAGCATCAATCAGGTACTAAGCGTTGTTATTTTTAAATAATGAATTAACTAAACTATCTATATAAAGTAGATTTATCTATCTATCTCTATTTTCATGCTAAATCCCTGGCGAGGATAAAATAAGGTTCATATCGTGATTAAATTACATTGGACATGTTATTACCATGAATCAGCGTTCTCTAAAGTAATGTCAAATAACGGTAAAAGCATATGACTGTGTTAGATTCGATTTTGTATAATCTCTTAACGTCGTAACAATCGAATAGTTTTTGAATACCAATAAAACGCATTTTGATCAGACACCCTTTTTTTTTACTAATGAAACAAAGAGTATTTAATAACTATCCCTGAAACTAAAACTATTGACTATTTGATTTGATTGTGGTCTCCGCGATACTGTTATCGTGTTGCATAGCAACTGTCATAATGATTTATCAATAACTTTATTTTGTCGAAGGAAACTTACTTTCGTTTTATAATTATTTTTACACACAAATATTAACGTTACGCTTATAACTATCTAATTATGGCTCCCAAAAAAGACAAAAAGAATGAACAAGAAGCTCCAAAAGCTGCTGGAGGCACGTTCACTGAGGTCGAAAGGACTTTCATGGAGTTACAAATAGCTGAATGTAACCGGAAAATTGCAAGGCTTAGATCAGCTGTTGACGAGTACGAACAAAGAAATGAAGAACTACAGAAGGCCTACGATAAACTTGACGAAGACAGAGCTGATATAATAGCATATCTGAAGAAAACACTAAATGTGAAAAATGAAGAAAATAATGAATTAAAGGACAAAGTAAAAGGACTAGAAGAGACGAGAGAAATTGAAACTGCCCAGTTCAAAGAAACAGTGGCTGAATTAGAAAAAAATTTTACAATCATGAAAGATCAACTTACATCTGAAAATAAATTACTGGCAGGAAAATTAAATACTTTAGAGGAATTCAGAGCTATCAGAGATGATTTAATGAGGAAATTTGAAAAGCAAGAACAAGATTTTAAAGATCAAGAGATGAAATACAAAAGAATAATTTATGATGCCGAAAAGAAGTTCGTAATTGGAAAAGATAAATTAAAAAAGGAAATGGAAGCCAGATTGTTACAGTTAGCTCAAGATTTTCAAGATGCCACTGAATTAAGAATAGCAGCATCTACACATAGGGTAATTAGAGAAAATATTGCAATTAACAACGAATTGGACAACATTTTGTCATCACAAGCTAAATTAGCAGATCAAAATGAAAGGTATAAGGAAAGTGAAAGAGCTGCTCGGGTAGCAATGGAATTAGCTGAGGAAGAAAGAGATAAGGCTATCAACAAAAACGTTGTTCAGTTAAAGGTAATAGATCAGCTTACAACAGCATTTCAGGAAATAAAAAAAGAAAAAGCCCTATTTGCTAAAAGAAATTATAATTTTGAAATGCAAGAAGCAAAAATACAAAAGCTAACAAAAGAAAATGACAAACTTTCCCTACATGTCCGTATACTGGAACAAAATCTACATGCTAAATTATGCGAACAGAATAAGGCAGTTGTTGAATCAAATAGAATAGCAAATGAGTGTTCTAAATTGAAAAAGATTTTAAAGGAAGCTGCAGTTGCTGTACAAGCTGCATTAAAATTAGACCAATGGGCAACAACAGATCCTACGCGAGAAATAATGGACAGACAAATATTGCTTTCTCGATTGCTAGAAATAATGAGTCAATATCGAGAAATACAACGTACAGAATCTGCTGCTACTCTTGCTTCTCTTGGTAAAGTGTATGAAGAAGGTGATCTTGGATTTATTCCTAAACCACAACTCTCAAAGAAAAAGTCCATCATGACTATCCGTGTATCACACGCGACGTCAAAAGAAGAACTCAAACCTGAAAAGGGTAGTTCACCTTCTATATCTGTGTCTTCATCGTCACTCGGTAGTATAAAGACTATTCCAAGTCTTAAATTGGTGCCGCAGTCCTCTGAGCCGATGCTGGCGCCAAAAGACAGTTTGCCTTCATTCCAAGCCTCATCGATGTCAAGTGAGACTGAGAGTACAGTTGAAGAAGAAGAATCTCAAACTAATATTGAAAAGTTACTTGAACATAGCAAACTCGAAATTCAGAAATCGATCATGAAAGATTTACTATATTCACAAACAGCAATTAAGTCACAGGCTAAGGTCAGTGAAGATGTAATTAAGTCGTCAAAATCCGTGATTATTGAAGGGGATGAGACTGTCGAGGGTGAAGAAGGACAAGCAGAAGGCGAGCCTAGCGAAGGTGATAATATACAGAAGACTGATGAAGCTGTCATAGAAGAAGAAGACAAGGTAGCAGAAGATAAAGAAGAGGAAAGTAAAGATCAACCTTCAGATGAAGCAAAAGTATGATGTGTGTATTTTAGATGCCATATATTATTTAAGTATTTTTCTCTAATCTTGGTCAGTTTTAATAAAAGTTGCATATTTTTTCATATTTTTTTTATTCCATTGATAATAATATTGACATAAATATTTAGCTTTATTATAGTTGAGATTGAGAAGCTATATTTTCCTATCTTACCTTATATTTTCATGCCAGTTCTTTTTCTATCTCTTCTTCTTTATTGTTTTCCTAAATTTGTAAAAGAAAACTACCTGTATAATTACAATCAAGCTTTCAAATGAATCTATCCACGTTGCTGCATATACAAAAACATTAATGTTTTTGTTCTTTACCTCTTCTTAAAGCTACATGCTGAATAGTGACTTTTGTCTTCTGTTACCGTGCTCGAGAATCTTTGCGGTGGCATGCGCACTTGAAAACTTGATAAGTATTTTTCAAAGGAAATGACAAGAGTACAGCGACAGAATTAAGACACGACGACAATAAATAACCAGTGCTCGCTTTATCTAATACTGTGATGTATCAACACCGGTTTCAATCAACGCCGGGCCTCCTCTCGTGGGAGGAGAGACGAGTCGCCCGGGAAGATAAAAACTTTGGGTATAATCAGCTTTTATGCAATAAACCTTATGATACCTACTGCGGGCCTTATTGGTACCCCATAATAAAAGCTTGCAGGTCACTTATTATTAGCCCACCTATTGAATCTTTTTATTTGACGAAATTGAAATTGATTACTAGTAAATGTCCATTCAGGGTGAAGCAGTCGAGCTAGAAGCGTGCGAATGTTCAGCGCGACCATGGGCTGGCGACTCATCAGTAGTGGTGGCGGAGGTTGGCGCTAGATGTCGCTGCGGCTGCGTGCTGCATTTAGCTCCCACAGCTCGGTTACTGGCAGGCTCGGCCAGAGCGTGCCCATCCAGATCATTTTGGCTTCTTCAGGTAAACGGATGCTATTGTTATAAAATCAGCATGAAATACAGCCCTTTCGCGTCATAGAATAAAACTTTATCTCCTTTTGAAGTAAGTATTATATTCAAAGACATTGGATTTATTTAATAGAACATCTATGATGTTACATGGTTCGATGACGAGATCGAGGCTGTTTTTATTATACAATAAAACAACAGTTTAGTCCAGTCACATAATAGCTCGAAAATAACGTTATAAAAAAAAATACTCAGTATATTTTTCAATACTAAGATTTCAGTGGTCGGATTTTTATTTCTTCTTAACAATTGTTGTTGAGCTTACAAACTTTAAGTTCCATTTAACTCATGTTATAATCCAATTTCAAAAGATTTTTTTTTTCTCGTATGGTGCACGTTATGACGTCATAGATTAAATGTGTATTTATAAGTAAATTATCAAATATTTATGTTTTGCTTAATTGCAAAACTTGTAAATAAATTTTAATGAAAAACTAAATTTCCGATCACTACTTTATTGGTTATCTCTTAAGTAGCAATATAAAATTAATATATTAGTTTGTAGAAAGTAAATTAGTTTAAATAAATATATAGAAGGCACACGCTTTACCGCCATTCAATACACACAAAATGTGTTATATCACGTACTTGTTTGCTCTTAAGTAAAGCCCGTTACAACTTTATACGCCTACAAATTGTGTTAACAGTACAACGCAAACTTTCGTTTCACAAATTAACTATGTTCCCAACAATATTTCACAATGGTTTGGCGCGGGAGTGATCGGTTAACAATTTTGCAAGCTCTTGTTTATATTGGCAAGTTTAAATTACTTAATGGCGGAACAAAATTAATGGAACACAGTTCAAAGTAGAGCACTATTTAATTAATAATTAAAACTATTCAATTTTCATAAAGGAAAATATGTAAACGCATTTCAAATGGGGTAAGTTACTGTTAACTAAGCACTGGCTTGGAAGATATCGAAAGATAATTCTTAGAAGCTAAGTCGACAAATAGGTACAGTAAAGTTTTTAATGAAAAATGCTTTAAAAATCCACTTGGTCCCTGGTCTCTTTTTAAGCCTTTTTTCATTAAGAATATTTTCTAGTACAGCATTGTGATGCCAAATTGATCAAATATAATAGCAGTAAACTTTGATCGAATTTGAGTGGGCAAGGATTTGAAATTTTAAGTTTAAAAAACCATATAAAGGTACTTAAGAACTTTGGTGACAACGACATGGTCAAAATAACTGAGATAAAAGGAGCTACTTCTAGTTTTTTGCTAGACAAAAAGATGAGGTATCTTGTTTGTTAATTATAGGTGAAATACAAACACATTATTAGGTTGACGTTGGTTTATTAAAAAAGACAATTACAAATAAACTCTCATATTTATCAACATTATACTTATACACGCACACAAATACTAAACATAATTACACCTAAATTATAATTATTAAATGTCAGCATTACAAAGTAGGTCACTTTTAGATTCACTGTGTAAAATGAAAAGTATAATTTGTTATTGAATTATTTTCATACCATGCCCCCTGAAAATGTATGTTGTAAGGAACTGATCCGATTTCATAAAAAAATAATTAAAAACAATCCTCTCAAAAATAAAATCTTGCAAACACACAATAAACAATCAGATTTATTACTAAGAAAGATATTGTGGGAAATACATACAGAAAAGAACAAAAAAGACATCCAGTCAAAAAACTCATTCAATAATTGAAAGCAACTGTTTACGTTAGATTTTCAAATAGGTAATAAATAATTTGAATACAAACACCGTATTCGATGATTTCAAATCAATAATGTAGCCTGTTCAAATAAACCTATTACTATAATTGACTAACTATCACTAAAAGTATAAACAAAGTCAACCTTGGAATGAGAAATAATAAGTAATTTATATCTAATACAATATTTAGAAATTCTAAAGAAAGTAGGTAAAGTTCTTAACTTCTATTTGTTAAGAAATAATTAAAAAATAACCCTGAAATTACACTCGATTTTTTTGGAACTAAACAATTCTAACAGAAATACGAAAACATCGGCTTTATTAAGGTCTCACGATTATTTAGAAGTGGCTATTACAACTTTTTCTCGGTGAAAAGCTCTTTAGACATTTTAGGCCTCAATAAAAGCGTTAATAAATAACGACCCTTGAAAGACTGAATTTTTTGCAAACCCTATTATTAATTGGAAATGAAAGTCCACGCATATTTTACCAAGATTTTATTGATAGTTCAACAAAATGCTGCAGATAAAAATTATAGAAAAATGTTCATATATATAATATATTTTTTTTGTAAATTTAATATTAATAAAATAAGTTTTTTCTGAGTAGCTCAGTGGCGTAGTAATTAAGCGCGGCGGCCCGGAATCGTCGTTGATTAGCAACTTCCGCAAGGTTCGATGGCAGGATGGGTGACCAAAAAAATATTATCTCGAGCTACTCCATGTTTTGGAAGACACTTTAAGCTACAGGTCCTGGCTGCATTTGCAGTAGTTAATACCCTCCAATACACATCGGACCAGAGTGGAGGGTAATGGCCCATATTTCTTAACCATCCTCGCAAGGCCTGAGCCCCGTTAGAGGGGACGTAAGAGGGCTGATGATAATAAAATTCATTTATAAATAAACTAGCTTTTGCCCGCGACTTCGTCCGCGTGGTACAGTTTCTTTGGACATTATTTATAAAAACGCTAAAACATATACTATTCATTATATCGTATAAAATACCTTAATTTAAGGCTTATGATTTTATCTTTGATAATGATGAACTTTCATACCAACTTTCAATCTCTATTTCAACTATTTTATCATAATAAAAAGCAATTAATGTCCTATTTTAGTCCACTATATTTAGTGAGTTAATTATGAGAGCGTAACAGACATATACACAGACCCGCCTTCACGTGTATAATATTAGTATGGCGTATTAAACTGTTAGGTTTGGAGCAGTCTCCCATCCCGACGTATTTTTTAGTTCTTTTTTATTATTTTCATCAAATATGTTTAAGAACACTCGTACATACGTAAAAAAATTTAAATCGACTCATCCGTTCGGGAGCTATAATGCCAGACAGACAGACGCACACACAGATTCTCCTTGTAAATAGCCTAAGAACAATATAAATTACAATTGCCTGGTCGACTTTTAAACTCGCAACTATTATTTTTTCGAATTAAATTGAGGATATTTTGTGTGAACTAATGAGAAGAAAAATTGAGGTTAATATATCGTAACCAACTGGGAAAAACGTTCGTCCAATTAGACCAATTAGATTAACTTGCCAGGCTAAACGATCAGCTGAGTAACCATCACAACATCCTTCTACAGTGCGGCTGTACAATACCCAGGCAACTGGGTAACTGTCAAGGGTCACGTAACGAAACTCAATTATTCATTTTTTTAAGAGGAGATTTATCAACGATATTGGATTAAAATTATTTTGATGTTCAAGTTCGAAAACACTACAGCAAAAGCTATTTATTTATTAAAGGTACAGCAAAAGCTTTATATTCAATTAACCGACTAATGTACAATATGTTTCAGTATTTTATGTCGGTAATTTTGTATACTATTTATCCAATTTGAAATACAAAAGTAAATAAATACATTCTTTATTTCTGTTTTGTGAAAAAACACAAATTTTATTTAAAATTTAAAAAAATAAAATAATATTTACTTGGATTAAAAAAAATTATATAAAATGTAATTTTTTCTATAAATTATATTTTAAATAGCAATTTGCATAACCATAAAGTCTTTATAAATAATATTAGACAAATTTATTACAATGACAAATCAAATAGTAAACGATTTGATATGATTTCTTATAAAAAATTTCACTCCCATTTTCATCCCTTTAAGTACTGGTTTGGTCGTAAAGTACAGAAATACCAATTTTCATGGATGTAGGTCCAAAAATAAAGAAGTTTCATACAAATGTTTTCACCCTTTTTGACCCCTTTCGGGGTAGAATTTTCAAAATTCGTTCTTAGTACACCTTTACGTAATAAGACGAATGTATCCTCCAAATTTTTAGTCTCTACGACCTGCGGCTGTGTGTTGTAGGACATCTCCTTTTATATTTGTATGGATTATTTCGCGGATTCAGTAATATTGATTCACACATAATCTACGTCGCCATCTTGTTGTGACGATGTGGTTCCAATTATAACTTTGAGAGTCTTTACTTTAGATTGGTCGGTATTGTTTGTGTAAATACTTAAAGGTTGTCGCGTAGAATGTTGGACTATTCAGAAGTGCTTTCAATAAGCTTACTTGAGTAAAATTTAATTTCAACGGTGCGACTTAGCTCTTTAGTCATAGGATCAACATCATAGCAATGTCAAGGAGATATTTTATTTTACTGCTTTGATTGTCTTTTGGTGGTCAAGTTTGGTAATTAAATGATTAAGTTGGTAATATTGCTACCAAATCAATTAATTATCATTGGTTTATCGTTATTAAAGTAAAATGATATCGAGTATCGCCTTAACATCGCTAAGATATGTATCCTATAGTTTGAGAATTAGGCGGTCGTCATATCATCGGGTACTGCAACGACGATAAATCATTAATTAATAAAGGTCAAGATAACCGTAGAGTAAAATGGTCAGTACTTGTAACTTTGTACACTATCAGCAGGCCTAATCACTAAATCAACTGACAAGTCGTAATCACCGTAAAAAGTGGGCAACTCCAATATGTCAAAATCACTTTTTCTTATTTTCTGTGAATGGTTCAAAATTGTAAAAAAGTCAATATCGGCGATTTCTATTGAATTCCAATTCAAAATCGAAAAGGAGGAGGTTATATGTTCGATTCTTTTCTTATTCGATAGCTTGATGGATCGAGGTGGTTGCGTATTTAGAATTCATTCAAAATCTGAAAGAATGATTTTCTATATTCAACGAGTATATATACTTTACTCTTTGATGTATATTTAAGAAGGGATTAGATAGTAGGTATCAATGAGTAAAAAATATATAAAGGGGTAGGTATGCTCAACGATTTCTTCTTGAATGAGGAAGTATTTAAAAAAGAGAAAACACGAGAAACATTACATTATATCTTTTTATATGGAAAAGTGATAAAATTGTGAGTCAACATTATTTTTATTAATATTAATCTTTAAAATCCTTATTTTTCATTATTCCTTCCATCTCCTGGTAAAATGCCTTTATTAGGGCTCTCAAGAAAAAACCATTGAATACCCGAGACTTTTAATACTGAATTGCACGCCCTCGCTTTTCTCCATGAAATTGTCGTTTATTACTGGTCATCTGAAATGTAATTTTCTTGTGTTTGGCTAAGAATTTTAATTTAAATTCACATTCGATTAATATAAAAAAAATGTTTTCGTACATTATATTTCACAATGCTGTATTAATATTCATCCTTAAGAAAAATGCTCAAAATTCATCAGGCATATGGGACTGGTAAATTTTTTAAGCGTTTTTCTTTAAGTAAATTTGATTTTTGACTAACCTTTTGTTTTGTAATTAAATTTAAAAATCAAGGACATACTTGTGGGTAAAGGCTATTATAAAGTTGATGTTTTTTTAGGAGCGCAAGCAATGCATTCTACACGGACTAATTTATATGTACCTATCCAAAAAACATTGTCTTATTACTATTATAATAGCAAAATATTCATTTTGGTAATAATATAATTGATGTAAATGTTTACTTCTGATAAAAGCATATAAGTTTCTTTCGCTCGTTCTGTTTGTCAACCAAACGACATCTTTCGTACGATTTGGTATGGAAAAAAAATTACAATTTGAAAGAGCATATGAATAAAGGATATTTTTATTTTTGACATCTTTGTTGATGTAAATTTATTTTTAAGATTTTTTCCCAATGTATCTTATGAATGTGTACTATGAAATAATAATATCATTCCCGTCTTTATATAATTAGGCTGAAGAAGGTCTTGTGGTGCGCTTGCGCATGGAATCGGTGCGGCTGCCGTGCACTGGACAGGCGTTAAGAGCGAGAGATGGGGATTCCCTGGGGTCACCTCTGCTTGCGTCATGGGACGGTCCCGATAGTTCCGCCGTGGTGAGTTACACGAAATTTAATTTTACAGTATAGTTTGTAATTATTCAAGATCAACCAGTGTAACTGAACTATTAGACTCGTTTACGTTTTTGCCACCAATTGTACATAACACTTTCCCAGCAGATCTCGTTTTTGTTACGATTTGGCAGTTTTATGCAACTCATGCGTCACGAATAGGCTACGTGATGTATTCTCTTACTTACTGTTCATAAATAACAAATCTTAGTCGTATTTCACTAGTTTTATATTATTCCTAAAGGTTGGTGCCGTAGAAACTACGACGGACAGCAGTGGAGTGATGGAAATAGCTGGTGGGCGCCATATCTTAGTAGAGCTTCGGTCCTCTGACACCAGTGAGCGATGCGCTGGAGGTTTCTTGGCACACGCCAGCCAAGTCGGTAAGACATTTTGTATACCCTCAGTATTAATCGATGATCGTCATTATTCGTTTCCCTGGTACTGATTTCATTTATTGACAGGTTCAATATATGTTCTGTAGTAATAGTTATATGATTTTTTTATAGTCTACCCATCCTGCCTCTCTTTTCGCAATATTTGTACTATGCAATATCTTAAACTACTTAAACTTATAAATATAAACTAAGCAAGAGTCAGTCGAATTTGTGCCGAGGATTCCGCACAAATTCAAATGAAATTTTTACCAGTAATTTAGGAGAACATCCGCTGTAACAAACAGATAGATATATAAGTAACCCTATTAGGGTTCAGTTTTTCAGAATCATAAAAATAAAATGACAATAATAGAAAGAGGTTTTCTATTATTATTAAATAGTGAGTTCTACTGATCAGTACCTTTCATTCTAATTAGAAAATTGTTTCGGCCCTCTTCTTCAGCTATGTCCTTCCACTTTTGTATTGTATAGGTATCAGTTTTCGATTAAAAGAGAATGAATCTGTTTATATTTATATCGTCATTCTCTAATAACGTTTAATGTTGTTTTGCAAAGAGCCAATCAGAAATGCGTCAGCGGCATGGGCTGTAGTGAGCAGTGCCACCTGGTGGAGGGGCGGTGGCGGAGCTAGAGGTGCTGCTGTAGCACTAGCTGCGATAGCAGCGCTCGCGGCATTGTGCTTAGCGCTGCATTCAGCGCACCGTACCAGGGCATATCAGAGAGCTGCTGATAAGGAATCCTTGACTGACAGTGATGGTAAATATATATTAAAGCCCGTGACATTTAAAACTGCCGCTCATATTATAAACAATCTTGTTAATATATTGTTATTGGAGAAATAGAATAAGCCTTCGGAGATTACCTTATTTATATTTATGTGCAACACACACATTTCGATAGTTCACTATGGTAGATAAATATCTATATAGATCAGAAGGTTGAGGTCAAAAAATGAACAAAGTATTATGTGACAGGCGGGTGACTGGAGCAAGCGTGTCATAACAACTGCCCTGCGTTACTGTAAAAATTCAAACCCGAATTCGAATTCACTCAGGTGTCCGGATTCACTTCAAAAAGCGGTACCCGCTCAATTTTGAGTTGGTAATAACGTTTCGTGGCATAAGTGAAGTGAGTTTCGAAATTATATAGAAATGCACGATCTGAGACACGTATAATCAATCAATATTGTTTCGTATTTTAAACAAAAAATGGAATCAATAGAATTTCTTCACTAAACGAGAATTCGGACTCATAAGTAAATTCGAATTCGGGTTCGTGTTTTTACAGAATCGCCTTGCAGATCTTTATTTCAACTTGACTTACATATGTGCTGAATAAGGAATTTACATTTGTGTGTCTAAAGCACGCAGTCTCGGCAGAGTTTGCAATTGTAAATTAACTGAATCCGGACGTTAAATCATAAGAATCGTACTTTAACGATTATTGTAAGTCCCTGAATTTATTTATCGTTATTTGTTAGGCACGTTCCGAGTGCAACTGTCAAATTAGCGATATTCGTTACTTTCTTGATTTGCCAATGCGGTCAGTGAACTTTCCTATCGCATTTAACAATTGCTTTCAATGTCAAATCTACACGCTCACCCTCACGAGGAGGAGGTATATGTAACCAAGTAACCAAGACACACGTAACCAAGATTGCAAATGGGACACCCGTGAATAGATATTTTAGATGTGTTTTTGTCGTCTTTATTGTCCAGCCTGCTCAGCTTCATTGGAGATGGGCGCAGCAACAGCTGGGTCCAGAAGCACATTGTTATCCGAAGTAGTCGGAGGTGGTGTTTCATTGCGACGCCTCCTCCCTTCAGGGAAGACGAGGCATACGAGGCTACGCGACTCTGACAGGGCTTCTGAAAATGTAGATCAGAAGTAAGTACCAGACCTTATAGTGTACTATCCAATATTTTATGAATTAACAGGTACTATCCAAATGTTTTATGAATTAAGAGGAGGAAGTGTTCGAGGTATATGTGTGTAATTCCGTTGGAATGGCGTAATATTCATATACCAGTACATTGCTCTGTATGGGTTTCTTAACTCGTGTGCAAAATTTTATAGATGTATTCATATATGTCTGTATGTTTGTCCACGGATATCTCGCAAACTGGACATCAGATGGTCCTTCAGGTAAAATGACGACAACCCGTCTTTATTAAGGTTCCGAGGATAAAAGTTGTGGTAGTAATAGTAGGAGCGATATTATAATGTGTAACATCTTAACTATGGTTGTAGATGTTAACAATGTTGTGTACAATTTTGTTTATTGCCGCTATAAAAGAGTTAATTTTCTTCATCTGCCTTGTACCGGGAATACTGCAACAAGTTATTTAAAACTGTCAATTTTCTCTTGATTTTAAACCTTAATGCAATAAGAGCAAAGCTTAAACTCAACGGCGCAATTTGCAAATATCGTGTTTGCCGCTATAATTATAAAGAAATTAATAAAAACGTTATCTAACACTTTACAAATGTCACTTGATGGGTTACATAAAAAGTTTTACTAGACCCGTATGGACTTAGAACGTGTTAACATTCTTTCTCCAAATTCATGAAGTTTTCAAACGCTGATTCCAAAATACTAGTCCAAGTAAATATGTTTATAAAAATAAACTTATTAAAGTACTTTTCAATGATCCAACATTTTTTCCTACCGGACGTCTTCTGGGTCATAAAAATCACCAAGAAGTACACCATACTCTATTGTATACTAGCTTTCCACAAACGGCTTTGCCCGCGCGGTCCATATAAACTTCATCCTCGTATTTCACTTCCTTAAGGGTTGAAATTTCTGAAAATTATATCTTAGTGATCAATTACATCATGAGAGGAACTCATATTACCATTCAAGTTTTTAGGTACAGTAGTTTTGGCTGTGCGTTGATATATTCATAAGTCCGCCAGATTTGCTTTTTAGATAACTACAATAACACTTATAAATCACAGTTGTCGAATCAAACGCTCTCATAAGTTATAAGAGGCACTTTCTTTTTTTTTTTAATTAACGCGCACTCGACTAAAAAGGGGCAATTATGAAGCTTCCTCATTAATCCTACCTTTGCCCTATTGTTGTCTCACGTACAGCCGGGGGGCTCAACGTCGATTTTTCCTTATAATTTTTTCATGACACTCGTGTTCCAATTTGAAGATAATAATGTCGTTCTAATTGGTGCTTGTATTGAGCATATAAATTGATTTGTAAAAAGTGTAAAAAGTAATGTTTACTCATTTTGTTAATAATAAAATGAAAAGAATCTCTGTAATATCAGTAAAAAATTTAACAATGCCTTTTTGCACTCAAAACTTATAAGTTACTAGTCTACTAACACTAGACTAGAATAGTAACACACTTAAGCAGATCTTTTCACCAAATAATCAAGATGTTCTATGAAGACAGAAGAAATAATACTATTATTAGTAGCTATTAACAGTCATAACTTCATTCAAACATTTGCGTAGTTTTGAAATATACTCAAGTAATTATTTCTTACTAATTCAGCTGTGTGTGTGCTAGCTTAAAATAGTGCCACCCCCTCTCGTCTCGTGGGTGTTGTACACAGCGACTATGGAAACACAGCTATTAAGAAATGGCAGTAGCATTTCCTAAAAACTTTGGCCCACTGTGATCGCTAGCCCGCCTGTCAAGCGTGGCGATTATGGCAATTTCCCCTCATGCATAACCTAAAAAGAAATCAGCCCCTAGTCCCTGGCAGCCCAATTATTCCTTGTTAAGCGACTACGGTATAGGTAGGGCAAAGGGTGCGAAGAAACCCCGGGTAAGAACCGGCTACGACGAGTTGACCTGGCAACATATAACACGCGAGCATTGACGACTGACGCGAAACTTACGGAGTTGGAAGAATGTATCAGTAAGTTACGCTGGAATATCGTCGGGTTATCTGAAGTCCGAACAAAAGAGAGAGGAATCGATAATATTTGATTCCTGTAACTTGTTATACTACCGGGAGGGTGATCAACAGTCCCTAGGTGGTATTGGATTTATCGTTCATAAGTCCCATGTAAACAACGTGACTACCATTGGAAGTGTGTCGACCAGGGTAGCATACTTGATACTCAGAATATATATCGATATTCTTTCAATGTCATACAGGTTTATGCTCCGATCTCGCCGCACCTACATGATGGAATGGAGGCTATGAATGAGGAGATTTCAAAAGCTATGCATAGTTACAATACTCACGACATGGTCGTGATGGGGGCCTTTAAAGCGAAGATGGGAAAACGTTGCGGTGGTGCCCGAAATCCTGAGGCCAGATGTTGGCTGATTTTATGTAAAAAAAAGAACCTCTACATATTGAACTCCTTCTTCAGGAAGTCATTAAATCGGGCATTCCATTTCCTAGATGAGTCCGGACGGTAAAGTCAAAAATGAGATTGATTTCATCATGTCAACAAAAAAGTAAATATTCAATGATGCCTCTTTGATCAATGCCATTAAAACAGGAAGCGATCATCGACTAATACGAGGCACATTGAATATCAATATCAATCTGGAAAGATCTCGATTGATGAAATCTACGCTCCGATCAATGCCTGCATAGATCCAAAACCCCGAAGTTTACAACTCGAGCTTCAGAACCGCTTTGGCATCCGTGAATGTAAAATAACGCTCAAGTCCGTATATATCATCATATATATGCATTCACGAATGTATAACTGCAGGGTAGTGGGGCTAGAGGAGAAGCGGGCGGTGAGGTACAGGTAGATGAAGTGGACTGTTTAAGAGGGTTTTGAATAAACTCATTGGTTTTGATTGACTAACTCGATCCATTCAAATCATTGTTAAATGTATCAGGTTATACAAAACTACTATATTTCTCAAATTCATTTTATATATTATTACGTGATAAATAATATTATCTCTCTGTTTATAATGTATTGATCTGGTAATGACATGGTTTTTGTAAATGTCATTACTCTTATTCTTGCTCGTTCTTCTTCAGCCAAAAGACGTCCTGAACGAGTGGTAGGGAAAAAAAATGTTGGACGATTCAAAAATACTTTTAAGAAGTCTATTTGAATAAAGATTATTTTGACTTTGACTTTGAAATTGAGCGCATTAATTCGTTATTTCATGATAACCTTATCTTTAATGCGATACAAGTAATTGCTGAGCTCACACTGACATATCGTAGTATAGCCTTGCAAATGTCACCATGACATACCTCTATGAGTTCTGCAGACAAAAACACACAAAATAAATTCCCTTTTAACAGTATATAAAAAATCACATAATGAATAGATGATTTCAGTTTGAATTCACTTCTTGAAAAACCGTAGGGAAGAAGAGGATGATCACACAGACACTGAAGCTGATCCAGGCGACAACGTTAGTGTTGCGAGCGCACGTAGTACTGCAAGTCAAGCTACTGTCACCCCAGAAACTGTATCGTCGAGCAGTGCGCCGGTCACCCGCAGTAATGTAGCGCCGTCGCCGCTGCGTCGCTCACATACTGTCACCGCCACCTCTAATGTTTCCGTGTCAACAACAGTATCAAAGGTAATCACTATCATTAGTTGTTATTCATACAGTGTAATTTTCGCTATTGAGAAATGACGACGAAAAAGTCTTGTAATGATGTCGCCAGGTGGCGATGTATAATAAACTAAATAGTGATAAAATTTGAATTTACATATCGGCTTTGTAAACAGTGTTCTCTAAATGATTTTCAATTCCGTCGACGGTAAACTGAAAAGTAAAGATCATTGTGTTGCATTCGTTCAATTTATTTTAATTTATCAGTTAAAAAGTCTGTTGCGTAGTTTATTTTTCGCAAATAGTGGAGAATTGTTCCATTGGCATATTGTGGTGAAGTAATTTCGTGACTATTCTCGATATTGAGGTGCATTTTAAGGGTTATTCATCGGTAGTGTCGGAAAGAATGTAATAACGGTCATTCAAAGCAGGTACATTATCGCGACGCGTAAGCGACGCGTTCTGCACGGCACTTAAGACTTTTTTCTCGCCAACTAGATCGGATATCGTTTAGCGTAAAGTAACTCCGCGAAGTAAGAACTGTGGAGGCGGCATTAATCTGGAATTGTTATTCAAATACCCTGTGCTGGGAACATAAACAAGTGCATGGTTGAGCACTGGTTTTAAATAAAATAAAAAAAAACAATAATGGCATCCAAAATGATTAAGTGCGCGGGATGTATGAGTACTATAGATACTAGAGAATATTTAAAATGCTGTAAATGTACCCAAATATTCGATCTGGATTGTGCTAATGTGTCAACTGCTCGGTTTCGTAATACAATGAACAAGGAACACAAAAACAAGTGGACATGTCAAGAATGTCTAAGTAGGAAGCCAAAAGTGGGAAACACAAATACTCCTATACGCGATCTGAAACATGATAGTAATATAGTTACGGCCAATGACAATTGTGATGAGGCGATTAATGTTACCCTCCGGAGTAAAAATCGGTCTCCTTCCAAACGTGATACTGCTACTGCTGAGTTTTCTGATCGTTGTGGACATTTATCCATTAAGGAGCAGGTTAGCGAAGTGATCAAGGAACTTATGCCATCAATGTTCAAGGAAATTCTAAAGTCTGAACTTGCTACTATCAAAAATGATCTCCAGGAACTTACTAATACCGTTTCATTTCTTAGCACACAGTATGATGATATGAATCAGCAGATTGTGAAACTGACTACAGATAATAATACTTTGAAGGCGGACAACAGCAAGCTAAAAGCTGCTATTGTGGACGTTACTGAGAGATTGAATAATGTTGAACAAAGTTTGCGAGCAAATAATTTAGAAATGCATGGCATCCCTGAAAATCGGAATGAAAATCTAATCAGCCTAATGCAACAGTGTTCTTCTGTAATAGGTCACAGGATCAACGATGGTGATTTATTGAATTGCATTCGTGTAGCTAAAAAGGATAAGGAAGCTAAACGTCCACGTACAGTAGTGTTAGGATTCAAAAATGCTATGTGCCGTGATGAGTTTTATTCTGCTGTACATCGGTATAATAAGTCAAATGTAGATAACAAGCTCAATACATCGTTACTCGGAATTGCTGGAGAGAAACGGCCAATTTATGTCCAGGAGCACCTGTCACCCACCAACAAGAATTTACATGCTGCTGCTCGTAAAAGGGCAAAAGACTTTAATTATAAATTTGTATGGGTTCGTAACGGACGCATATATGTCCGAAAAAATTCTGATTCAGCATATATATATGTAAAGAACCATGATAGCATACAACTGATTCAGTAGTTAATTGTAATCTTTTTCTTTTATTCTTTAGTATTAAATAATGAATTGGCTTAATTTTATAATTAAAATGCTCGATTCAATTTATTATCAAAATATCCGTGGCATGAATACTAAGACCCACGACATTTACAATAATATTTTGTGTAGCAATTTTGATGTGGTTTGTCTCTGTGAAACATGGTTAAATGATTCAGTACTATCTTCGGAATTGTTTGATACTAGGTATGTTGTAGTGCGTAGAGACAGGGATGTTAAATTTCTTGAGAGATTTGATAAGAGGCATGGTGGCGGAGTATTGATCGCAGTATCTAAAAACTTACACTATAGGGTTAGGTTGGATTGGCAGACCGAGTATGTGGAGGATCTATGGGTTCAGATAACGCTGAAAAATAAAACAACGGTGAATATTTGTATAGTTTATTTGCCTGATTATGAACCTGGTGATATTTTTCATAGTTTCATCAATAATTGTGAGCGTGTATTGACTCAATATCCGGATCAAATTACCTGCATTCTGGGTGATTTCAACTTAACTGGCCTTAAATGGTCTTTGGAAAACGGCACTCCCTTAAATCCATCGTGTTTAAAGTCTCATCTTCTTAATGATTTGTGTCATATTGCATCATTGAATCAGATGAATTTTGTTGCTAATCATAATGATCGTATACTTGATCTGGCTTTGACTAACACTGCAGATTGGTTTTCCTTATCGAATGCAATCCCTATAAGTCGTCTGGATATGCATCATCCCCCATTTCAGTTGCTTGTTAAGGGACCGTCAGATGCATTAGAAAATAATAACGTTATCGAAAGATTCAACTTTTATAAATCTGACTATCAAAAAATTATATTAGAACTAAAACAGGTCGATTGGGATTATCAGGGTGCCATTCTGGATTGCAATGATTTGACACAGTTTTTCTATAATAAGTTGTACAGTGTTATTGAAACTTTTACTCCCAAAATGAAAAAACGTAGTTCTGGTTATCCTGTTTGGTTCTCTAGAAGTCTAATTAAGGTTCTTAAAGAGAAATCAAAATATCATCATAGATTTAACAAATATAAAAATCCCCGAGATTACGATACTTTTTCTTTACTTAGATCACGAGCCAAAAAATTAGTGGATGAATGTTTCAAGATATATATAAATAAAATTGAGAAGGATTTGGTTTTAGGCTTAAAATCTTTCTGGAGATACACAAAAAACAAAAGAGTTACTAATGATATCCCTAAACATATGTATATAGATGGTCAGGTTGCTGATTGTGGTGCACAGGTTGTAAATCTATTCGCAAGGTACTTTTCTTCAGTTTATGGTCCTGATTCAAAACCTTATTATTATCCTGAATTTGAATCAACAAGTTTTTCTCTTGGCGATATACATATAAGTGAGAAACAGGTTTTAAAGCTTTTAAAGAATGTCAATTTATCTAAAGGAGCGGGGCCTGATGGAATTCCTCCGATCTTTATTAGATTTTGCTCTGAAGCCTTAGCAAAACCATTAACTCTATTATACAACATGTCATTAAGGAGTGGTACTTGTCCATCTTCATGGAAAGTAGCTAATGTGACTCCAATACATAAGTCAGGTGACAAAGGTGATATTACAAACTATCGTCCTGTTTGTGTACTTAGCTGGTTTGCCAAATTCCTTGAAAGTATAGTTTATGACCACCTCTATAACCATATTAGACATGCCTTAAGTCCTTTGCAGCATGGATTTGTATCAGGTCGATCAACGGTTTCAAATTTATTAGTTTATACAACATTTCTCTGCCATTCATTTAATAGTAAGACTCAGGTTGACTCAGTCTACGTTGATTTCTCTAAAGCATTTGACCGCGTTAATCATCACATTCTATTAAATAAATTATATCACATAGGTATTCATGGTAGTCTTCATCGATGGTTTACTTCATATCTCTTGAAACGTTCACAGCTTATAACACTTAATGGTTATGATTCGGTGCCGTATATGGCATCATCTGGTATTCCCCAGGGATCTAATTTGGGTCCCCTATTATTCCTGATATTTATCAATGACTTGTTAAATGAATTTGATAGTAATTGTTTGGCTTATGCAGATGATATTAAAATTTTTAGACAAATTAAAAGCATTAATGATTGCATGTCTTTACAAAATGACATTGATATATTGCTACTTTGGTGTAATAAAAATTGTATGTCTCTCAATAATAATAAATGTCAAATAATCAGTTTCACAAAAAATAAGCATAGCATTGTGCACGAATATGAGATGAATGGAATAGTATTGGATCGAGTAAATCTTGTCCGTGATTTGGGTGTGTGGTTCGATTCAGATTTATCTTTTACACAACACTATAATTTTATTTGTAACAAAGCCAGCAGAATGCTTGCTTTTGTAGTGAGACAATCCAAGCAATTTAAAAACCCAAGCTCTTTAATATTACTCTACACGTCCTTAGTCAGAAGTATATTAGAATATTGCTCTAGTGTTTGGTCACCAATGTATAACAACCACATCAATAGAATAGAAGCTGTTCAACGCCGTTTTTTGAGAAGTCTTTGTGTTAGGTTTGGTCTGAGACGTAGATTACAGGATTAATGCGATCGGCTTAAGCATTTTTCATTGGTCAGCTTGGAAAAGCGCAGATGGGTAATTGATTTGACTATCTTACATAAAATAGTAAATGGTGAATATTGTGACCAACTCCTAAACCAGGTTAATTTTAAAGTACCTAATAAATCAGTAAGAGTTCCTAAATTGTTTAGTGTATCAGGTACCAATAATAATGTCTCAAAACATGCACCGCTCTCACGTATGTGTCATGCATATAATAATTTATGTTCTTTCGGAGATGAATTTGATGTATTTAATTGTAGTTTACATTCCTTCAAAGTTTCACTATTGTGTGATAGTACTTAATTTATTAGTATAGTAGTGGTACCTATTATGTTATTTAAAGTTTTCATGTTGTGTTTTCAAAACACAAATTAGAATCTTAGTGCTGAAATAATTTCTTTGCTTTTTTTTTGTATAAATGCTGTGTACAATTATTATTGGAATATAGATTTATAAAGTAACCGGTAGATGTTAAGTATAATGTACAATTTATGTTCTGTTATTGTACCTCAAACAATAAAAATAAAAATAAAAATAAAAGTATTTGTGACTATAGTAGATTGGACAGCATCATTATTATCTTTATTTTAGAGGTTGCTGCTCGGAACAGGGATACAGTGCTCTGCCCAAACCAATTCCTTAAATTCCTAAGCCAGGAATGTCACCTTCTTCCAGCACTGCGTTTCCCTATAATTTTCCCCTGAATTACGAGATGTAGAACTCTGTATTTCTTATTCCTCATACCGTAGCCAAAATAAGAGAGCTTGCGGCACTTGATGGTGTTAATAAGCTTTTTTTTTTTGCTATACATTCATCATAATAAAGGGGTGAAAATAAAGTGCAATACTGTATGCGTGAAACATTGGATATTATCAAATTAAATAAACGGTTATCGGTATGTTTTTCGTATAATTATGACAGTCATACGTAGTACATACTATTATAAAAGCAACTAGAAGTACCAACGGTAGCACGAGACGATCTACTTTTACCAGATTTTATTGTTAATCTGCTATGGGAGTATACTTACTAAGATCTGTCTTACAAACGCATAGTAATTTAATTGATGGAATGAAGATGACACGACCTCCTTTTTTCCGGAGCTAGACGTAAAATGTTCATAATGTTTTGTGATCAATCCGAATTTCTGTCAGCACTCCAAAGGTAAAACTTAATTGTTAAAATTAACTACTGTTTAATAGGTCACGTCACCGCCTCAAACGTCCAATACTGAAGTGATGACTGTTGACCTCAGCACTAGCGTCAGCAGCGTGAGTGAAAGGGATGATAGTTGCAGCGAAAAGGACAAAGATAGCTTGTGGGAAAAGGATCGCAGCGAGAGCAGAGCATCCTCGTCTACTTCTGCTGCAACTCTTACCAACGTGAGTGGTAGAAATAGAAAATTTTAGTAATGTGATTTCGTTAAGAGTGGTCGAAAATATGGAGCTGAATACGGAGCCGTCCTTGCTGAAAACCGGGTCCTTTCACCTGACTGGAGAATACTGATTTAAGGTTTAAAGTACATTTCGCCTGCGTTAAAAAAAGAAAACAACATGCTAAGCAAAAGAAAAAAGAGTTTCTCTTATTTAAATTGTTAATATGACTTATCACGCCTTTATAAATATATCTCTTTCAACTTATTTTTCTCAGGGTTGGTATTCGCCAGCACTGAGTGGAGTTGCGTCCGCAAAAATCAGGGACAATCCGAAACACACGAAGGAAAGCTGCAACCGGAGACTGCTTAGATCTGACCTGAGTCTTACGTCACACCCGGAAATGGAGATCGACTACTATGACTACGAAGTCAACAATGCTGGTAAGATTCTGTCTTTTATAGCTTGAAACTTGGAGTGTTTTAAAACAATTTCAGTAAACGCTTTTAAAACATAAAAATATTTGTTCTATTCTATTAACAACAGCTTATAAATGTTTTAATTTTTCATAAATGCTATATAATGAGTTATTTGGAATAGTTTGTGTAAATGTATTCAAATTAAATAGTATTTTGCGTGCTATTTACCAATTGTTATAATTTGTTTTTATTTTTGATTTAGGTTCCGTTCCAGGTTCATACTTAGGAATGGATCCAGCATTTCTAGTGTGGATACCACCACTTGAAGAGGGCGATATTTTGAAAGAAATAGATGAAAACAAAGAACACGTTTATGAGGTAAATTGTCAACATAAAAGTAATTGTTATCTTAATACATGAATGACAAATTTGAACCTTCTAATAACATTTTATTAGGGTACTTCTTATTTTATCCATTTAAACTCCTAAACTTAAAATATTCATATATTATTTTCATTAATAGCCGATTGACGTAATAGGACACAACGTCGTCAATATATGGCTATTTTGTTGATATTTGATTGATAGAATAAACTGTATTTTTTAACTTCAGGTATATTATACTAAAGAAAACTGCTTATAAAAAAATCACCAGTTATAGGTAACTTGAGATAACTTTCATAAGATTTTAGTTAAAGTTCTACAATATTTTTCTGTGAAAATTATTAATAACAAAATTTTAGGTTCATAAACATTTAACTAGATAGGTATTTTGTTATTATTAATATTCACAAAAAAACAGTTAATCATTAGATTTATTAAATTCCAACGATTGTTTATAGGAAGTGTTGCCGAAAGAACTTCATCCTGATCCGGGTAGCAACAGTGAATCACCAGAAGAGAGACCGTGTTCCAGCAACAAGAGAAATTCTGACAACCGATCCAACAGATCCAACGAGTCCATCAAATCCACCCGCAAAGTCATGGATAGAAGTAACATAATACATCCTCTAAATTTTAGCATCAGTGATCTGCAGAATTCTCCTAAATTAGGCAAAAGGAACAAGAAAAAGAGAGACGAAATTCCCGTGACGATACAAATGAGAGATCTGACATTAACAAGATCTCCAGTTAAAGTGCATAGGAAAGAGAATAGAAATGATCACGACAATTCTTCTACGTTAAAGAGAGTAAACGATACAGCTAGAGAAACTAATGCTGATACACTAAAACGGTCAGATATCAATGACTTGAAATTCGCAGATGAAACTTCAGATTCTTCGGGTGAAATCAAATTCGCTGATGATTCTCCTGATAGTAATAGACTAGTTGACAAATATGATGTGAAAGTATAAGTCAAAACGGAATTATAATTTTTCAAGTTAATAACGACTGAAAAACAAGAAAAGTTTTATTTTAAAAATGGTTTAAAGTTCTATTATAAAGTATAATATTATCAATCAAATATAAATTTGTAATACATAAATATTATTTAGATGAAAATGATAATAAACCATCCATTGCCAAAGAGTTAAAGTAACCCAAAGTTCATTTCCAATAGTTTTTATAAGGACCAATGTGAATAAATCCATATTTATCTAATCTTTCATATCATCAAATCGTAAATTGTAGCACGATATTATATATTTTTAAGATAAATTTTTCATCTATCACTTTCACTCATAATATGTTTAAAGTAGAGTCACCGTTAGAATGTAAAATAGGATTTTATAAAAGTCTTTTGACATTCAATCATGTTGTAGTATTTAGAATGCAGAAAGTGTGATAGTTCAAATCAAAAGGTATATTTTGAGCAAAGGATTTAACGGAAAATGAATTCGAATTGGTCGAAGATATACCTAATTTGGAAAAAATAATTATGAATATCAGTTTGATATTTTCAATGCAAATGGCATTGACAAATATACCGATGAAAACCTATAATAAGGGTTTATTTAATGTGTTTTCCGTCAGTTGCACAAACGCCATTAAGGTTTAATGACACCATTAAGCTCTAATGAATTTGGTGGGTAATGTCGTTTTAAACTAATGTACATTTTAAGGGGTGTTTGTGCAACTGGCTGTTTAAATTATTTAAAAAAAATTGAACTTGTATGTAGATACAAGAGACAGTAGTGTCTCTTTATAAAAATCATATAATTGTTTATTTGGGGATAGTGAGAAAGCAACGCGGTTTCCATAGTTGTAAAGTACTTTTTGGTTTGAAATGTCATGAATGTGGTCCGTTTGTAGATTTTACACGTTAATTTCCGCTTTGGCGAAATGTTAAAAGCTTTCCATGTCGTAAACGCTTCTTCATCTATGCGAGAATCAGTCATGAAATGTTTATTTACTTTCGGATATTTTTACAATTTGTTTGTAACCAAGAAATATATTTTAAACTATCTATTGTAATCAGAAATATTGCCCTTACTAAAATTTGGAGAATAATTTAATTGATTTTGTATTTAACTTAACGTTAAAATATTTCTGACTTTAATTTACATCATTAGCCAACAAAATCTATATTTTGTCAGCGAAAGGTAAATTTATCTTGGTTACTTGTCAAAATATTCCAGAACTTTATGCTTAACATTTGTCTAACTCAGTTACATTGGTCGATAGGGCCCAATAGGAATGCGGGGTTAGCGATTTCAGTGCCACATTTTCACAGGTAAAACAAAAAATTAAGAAACTTTTGTAACGAGCAGTTATAGGACGGTTGACCAAAAATTTACTATCTCAAGCTCCTTTCTTCAGAAGGCACGTTAATCCGTGGGAGTCCGGTTTTTTTTTAGTCGTCAACACCCACCAATCAGCACTAGTCCGTGGTGGATCATGGCTTATTCTCCTATTTTAATTCTACCTAGAGACGGCCTATGTCCCAGCAGTAGGGATATTATTTTGCTGATGGTGATGATCCATAGAAATTTACCAGACCCTGCATGTCGGTCATATCGGCCAATGGAAATGAACCATTTTATAGGAAAATAAATGATGTTCGAATAACAGTAACTTGTAAAAGTAGACTATGCGATAGTTTATTCCTCATCTAATAATTCTGTAAATGATACTCCATGCTCATCATAAATTCATCAGATATCTTATCATTTTTTATGATAATAAATCAATTACTTTTAACTTTTAGAAGACTGACTTTTTCGGGCAGTGCAATACTTACCAAAATTATTTGACTTTAGTATGAAGTATAATGATGAGTATGAAATAGCAGTATTGAATCTTTGTGGCAATAACTATTATTTCTCTTCTAGTCATTTTTCTGAATAAGATAAATTAATATGCTTAGTTTCAAGGGTTCTACATATAATGATGCATTTATTATTTTAAAGTCATTTAGCGTAATAGCGTGTTATTTTTTAATATTATTGTAAACTTATATTCTTAGCTTATAAGTAAAATACTGTTGTTTAATATTTTAGTTTGAAATGCCATTAAAATGTTTTTATTTTATATTTGATATGGTCGTTTCATTATAATAGGTACCTACCATTATTTAAGAATAATAATAGTTAAGGATGCTTCATGGCAATAATTAGTCTTGGCCTCAGAAAAAATGTACTAACAACAAACGTCATTCAAGCATGTATGCTAATAAAATAGCTCGCAGCTGTGTGCGTCGATGGTGGGGCGGGTAGAGCTAGAGGGAGGCGAAGATAGGCACTGGTGGATATGGTGGATCGACCGTAAGGGATTTTCTTCCATCATTCGATCTGTTTAAATTTTATTTTCGTCTAGTTATTAAATCTAAAACGTGGTAGAAAATCACACACGATTAGTTCAAACTCACGTCACCTCTGTCTCCAATAAACTAAAACTTTCTTCAAAAGCGGTAAACAATATATATGAGTACATCGGTGACAGTTGAATCTCTTTACTTTTATGGATTAGGATTTGTAAAAAAAAAAGTCGAAGTGGCTATATATCTCTGACGATACACTGTAGAAAATGACCCTACCTCTAAATAGTTACAAGTCACTTAATTAATGTTGGTAACCATTTTCTGTAATATCAAAAAAAAAAACATTTTTTTTGTAAGCTTCTGAAAACTATCTATAAAATATCTTTTAAAGAAATACCAAATAATAATAAAATAAATAAATACTTTTTATTGCACAAACCATAAATTACATAGACAAACATAAATCTTTACAGAAATATGTACAAAAGGCGACCTTATCGCTAGCCAGCGATTTCTTCCAGGCAACCTGGCATTGAATGGAAAAAACAAGCATTAGATAGCAGATTGTGCATAAAACAAATAATAAATTAAATCATAGAAAACAAACTGAAATAACGGTTGCAACAGCAAAGTATCACAAACAAAATGATACTAATGCATCTAATAATGGCTGCTAACATGAATAATGTTGATAACTATATAACAGATAGGTAGAAGTGATAGGAGTTGGAAGAAAAGAAAGGGCTCAAAGTCAAGGGAATAATATAATGAAGATAATTAAAATATATACAAACTAAAATACGCAGCTAACTAACATGACAGCAGAAAGAACAAAGACCAAAGAAAAAAGGAGAATAAAATGTCAACAAAAAATAGACTTCTAAAAATATCTCACCGGCCTGCTGGCCAGTTCGTAACAAGTTATGTTAAAAAACAGAAATAAACCCTTATTTCTAACAAGCTCATTAAAGTATAAAAGCTATTGGTCATGAGATTGATTATAATTTGATTAATGTAATTAAAGCATATCTGTGCCAGTTATTCACCAGTATGTCAGCTTCGTATTATCATAGGAATTTAATATCTTCTTTTAAACGGCGCCTATTTACTTGCGTCCGATGTAACGTCTGATGTGTCTTAACACTTACAATTGTATTTTTTTAAGAATTAAAAAAATATCTTCTTTTCATATGATTGGGAAAGCAAAGTCAAAGGAATCATGTTAACAATGACGAAATTTCAACATTTTGGAGCGATTTCAAATCCAAAAGGAGGAGAATCTATGTCCGACTGCAACTGTATAATTTATTTTCAAATATAAAATATTTCCTTGACTGTGATAAGAATTCCAAATAAAAAGCAGTGGGTTTCAATATTTTTTTCTATATTATAACATAATAAAACAAAACACAAAAGAAAATAAAAAAAGGATACAAGAACTACAAAAAGGTTTTATTATCATCGTCGTCGGCAACACTACAAAGAAAAAGAAAGAAAGGCATTGACCATTCATTATATAATCATAAACATATACACAAGGAAGTAGTAAAAAAAATGCGAGGCTAAGATATACCCTTAAACTATATTACACGTCCAGTGCATTATGATCTTATTCTAATGCTACTCGATCTCGAGATACATTTACAATCTTGAAATATAAATAAGTATTGAGTGTGTGTGACACTAATTGTTTTATGAAATATACTAAAAAGTTTGATAAACTAAAGCATTAAATCAGCTCCAAAATCTCCAAAAAATCTAGCACATCAAATATATACGATATGTTGTTTTGTGTTCTTAATAGGAAGTATGCAATAGAAATAAATGTAAATAAGGAACTGCTAGTTCTGTAATTAAAGCTGAAAGATTGCCAAAACGTAGCGGATCCAATTTATAGGAACAGTGACAAATTACCCCGTCGCAAAAAATACCTGCCACGTAACTCTTATAGTAACAGTGGCTCCAAACGGGTAAGGTGTGTTGATTGTTTCATCCAAACCAATAATTTAAGCATCTAAATTTATGCAGGCGTATTAATGCGTTTAAAAAAAACCACTACATAAATCGGAAAATAATTATCAGTAACTTAAAATTATAGGTATAAAGTAGGTATCTTTTGAAATTGAACAAGGATTAGTTGGCCACACTTATCCACCACACATTATAGACTTTTTTTGCATATGTTGGCCGCCTTAACAATTATATTTTGATTTTTATTAACAAACAAGATGTGAATTTATTATGTCTCAGTATAGAATAAAGTAATTCATAATACCTGTAAACTTTTGCATTTCATAAAATGAAGAATAAAATTTCGCAAGGGTCGTCGTAATATGGATACCAAAATCATCTCGAGGTCCTCCATGCTTCAGTAGGAACATCAAGCCATTGGTCCTGTCTGCATTTGTAGTCGTTAACCATTTACCCATAAATCCGCTCTGGGTCCGCGTGGTGGGTCATGTCTTACTCCCTATTCGATTCGTTTCGTTTCCATCTATTCTTTCAAAGCGCCTTTTTTTGTAAAATATCGAACCACTGAAATATATTAATAATTCGTATGTAACTATTGAATAATATTTTTGTATCGGTTTATAAAAAAATAGTAAGTTATGATTCAAACTGATTGGCGAATTTAAAAAACTGCAATAACTACCT